TTTCAGACAATCTGGTTGAGGCTCACATGCAGGTCTACTGTAGCCACTTCCCTACTGCTGTAGCCTGTAGCCACTTCCCCACCACTGTAGCCTGTAACCACTTCCCCACCACTGTAGCCTGTAGCCACTTCCCCACCACTGTAGCCTGTAACCACTTCCCCACCACTGTAGCCTGTAGCCACTTCCCCACCACTGTAGCCACTTCCCCACCACTGTAGCCTGTAGCCACTTCCCCAACACTGTAGCCTGTAGCCACTTCCCTACCCCTGTAGCCTGTAGCCACTTCCCTACCACTGTAGCCACTTCCCTACTGCTGTAGCCTGTAGCCACTTCCTCACCTGTCTGACACATACTCAGCACACACAGGTGTAGAAACAAGCACACACACACACACACACACAGGGGTAGAAACAAGCACACACACACACACACACACACGCACGCACACACAGGGGTAGAAACAAGCACACACACGCACGCACACACAGGGGTAGAAACAAGCACACACACGCACGCACACACAGGGGTAGAAACAAGCACACACACACACACACACATGTGAATAGAAACAGAGTGGTACAGTCAGACAGCCCAAAAACTCCCACCAACAAAGAAACCAACAAACAGATTACTACACTCCAACAGCTAGCATACACCATCAGCCCACTAACACACACAAACTTGCAGGAATCCAAATTGTAAAATTACATAAATGCGTCTGGCTATGGCCTGAGCATGATACAGAAGACTTTTATTTACACATCATGTGCTCTCTCTCTCTCTCTCCGTCCCTCCCTCTCCCTCCCCCCCTCGCTGCGTGGCACACAGTGGCAGTCCGACCCTCCCACCCACACCTCCCGGCCGGTTCACCTGTACACACGTCTGCTGTGACCCGCCGGCCATCTTGACCAGAAGGACACACAAACAAACACATGGGCGTACACAAAGTCAGTAAATGCTGTTAGTACAATCCTCCTACGGTGAGATACAACCGTAACAGTCAAATCCTCCTACGGTGAGATACAACCGTAACAGTCAAATCCTCCTACGGTGAGATACCACCGTAACAGTCAAATCCTCCTACGGTGAGATACAACCGTAACAGTCAAATCCTCCTACG